GGGGGTCGGTTCGGTATCGAGGAGCTAGTCGGGGGGTCGTTCGTTCACGCAGCAAGAACTGGCGTAATGTCTGGATTCGGCTCCTGGATACATACACGCGAGTCGTAATATATACAAGGTCCGGGAATAAAATGAGTGTCCGGTGCGTGTATATCCGGTCGTCGGCGGCGTATGGTCGTTAGGTGTTTCGAAAGAAACGGGGGTGGAGTCGGGTATTCACGGAGAGCGACAAGGAAATTGATGATGGTCACAGAACCCTTACACCGCTCTTCCTTAACCAGCATCTACTCCGACTCCCATTCCCGCTTATCGGCAGCGTACCAGCGATGTCGAACGGCTAGAAGGTCGAGATTGGTGTCGTCAGGGAGTCGAGGGAAGCGAGGAGGGCCGAAGGGCGCGGTAAAGCGTGCGCTAATTTTATTATTATTATTTTACTGTCGATGCAGGCCAGGGCTTTTGCGTGAACCTCGCCCCTGGCACCCTCGCCCCGCACGCGGCACGATCGCCGGTTCCACGAGCATCAGGATTGAGCAAGCCAAGCTCGCGCACCCGCCACGCACCACCCGCGCGTCGCCACGCACGCGCACCGCAGACGCCGCACCGCAACGCAAGCTCACGCCTACCCCTGGCTTGACGGTCCGCTACGTCCACTGCGCCCGGCTCGTAGCACGCGGCGACGACTAGCACGACCCGCCATCCCGCGCCGCTGCCCGCCGCCGCCGCCCCCTACACCGTGGCGATACCTAACGTCTTTGATGGGTGCGTATAAGCCTCTTTTTTTTTTTTTTTTTTTTGGATTATAATCATTATCCATCTCGAGCTCTGACTCGCCGCGACGCCGCCCGCCGCCCACTGACTTCCGTTGTCAGTAGCCCGCCGCCTGTTGCCCGCCGCACGCTGCCTGTTGCACGCACGCGTTGTCCAAGATCCGCGACCCTAGCTCACGTTGCCCGCTGCCCGTGCATGTCGCCCGCTGTCCACGCATGCCGCGCCCGTCGCAGGCCGCCGTCCGCGCACTTCCCACTGCACGCGCCTCCGTTGCCCTAGACCCACCCCGCGCGCAGCGAGTCGCGCAAGGTCCTTCGCCCGCCACTCGCGCTAACCGACTGCTGCACGCTGCGCGCACGTCGCGCAAGACCTGTCGCCCGCCGTTCCGCCTTCTTCCCGGTACCCGCCGCACGCCGCTCGTTATGCTCCACACGGCGCACTATACCGGGCGCTCCCCGCTGCCGGCACGCGTCCGGCGTATCTCGGGTCATTTAAAGCTTATCCCTAGCGTTCTAGTCGCGCCATTGACTCGCAATCCGCGTTTCTATTGCGTCCTCCAGTACCACGCGCTCTACTTAGTCGATGCGCCCACGCCCGCTCTCTGGTTCTGCGACGCACACAGGTCGACGACCAGTAGCCCGACCGGCGGGGTTTTAACCCCCCACTTTGTGCTTTGAACTCTACATGCACCCACTACGTTCCCAGACTGGCTTGACAGTCCTTCAGCTGTATCTACGTTGTCCTCGCACCCCGCCACCTTGCCGCCGCGAAGAGGTCTCGCAGGACGAAGGAAGAGGCGGCGAATTCCTGGCGGCGGCCCCGTACTTCCGGACCCTGCCGATCTCCAACCTCACGGTATATCTTACAGGCAACAACAAGCCTGCAAGACTCGGAACTTCATCGGCATCGACTGCATTGAAGGTAAATACATTCGACACTCTCCTTTTCCATTTGGCTTATGCTTATTTCCGGCGTCCTACACCCAGTAACTGCTTGTCTTCGCCGCGTCCGTCGTCAACCCACGCCGCCCGCTGCACACGCCGCTTCTACCCCGCGCACACCAAATCACTGCGATAGCCTTGTACAGTGATGATCACGACAAGGGACTACCTAGAAGTATTATATTGTAGATACGAGTCATACGACACCGGCTGTTTTGTATTAAAATATACTTTTAAATTGAAAAATCTGCCTTAAGCAATGAAACGGAAATCGTCGAAAGCAACCGTCAACATACATCTTAAGCTTATCATCTTGTCATTCAAGCTATTCTCCAGCACGTCGATTAATCATCTCAACCTGCATCGTATCGGCCTTTTGATTATTGCACTGCGTACTAGCATGCTGACTGGCCTAGTATTCAGTAACCTGGTCCTGTATACATGGCCTAGTGCCATTCTGCACCATGTCTTAGTACTCGGTGAGGAGTAGGGTTTTGATACATTTACTTATCTCCTGACAACCTGAATCCAATCAGCAACTAGCACGATTTGCACAACTTTGGGATATTTAACCAAGTCCCCTAGTGATTACTTAACAATGACCCACTTGCACAAAAAGCATATGAATTTGCTTCAGGGTTTTTATGCAGCTTGGATACAGTACTGTGAATTTAACAAATGCACGTTTACTCTAGGATTGCAATCACTTACTATGGTTGGTGAAATAATCCCCATGAACCAGGTGGTGTATAATTGATAGTCAGATAGCTATGAAGGCTTGGACGCCATGGTTCAAATTACATAAAAGAGGTGCGTCAGTGTTGGTTAGCAAATTGCAGTCGCGCGTCGCGTTACTCGGGAGAGGGCATTCAGGTCGTTTGGGCTTTGCACTGGGCCAAGAAGAAGTCGAGAGGTTTGCATGCACAATCGTGACGGACGTAAAAAAAAAAGGGAAAACCTATTTCAATATGTTCCGGCCTCGATGCGAACGAGGAACTTCCTCTGAAGGGCTTGGTTGAGTGCATCAGAAGCAAGCGAGGACATGTTGCTGTACACCATCAGGGCGGCACGTTAAGCCATTAATCACTGGCATTTGCATAGTAGGCTCGACTTGGCATGCTGGATATTAAAAAGATCGCTGCCTTCCTAGACACAACCTGGCCTCGATTCGAACGAGTGGATTCCTCTGGAAGGTTTGGTGAGCAACAAGCAAAGCATGTTCTGTACACCACCAGGTCGGTGTGGGACTTGCGGTAAGCCATTGCCATAGGCTCGACTTGGCGTGCCGGATATTTAAAAAATCTTCCCAAGTCCGCGGCTCGCGTAGAGATTGCGTAGAGACAACTTGAAGACCTCAGATTCAAAATGAGTGTATGCATGCGCAGGGTTAGCAAATCAGTACAGGCGTGTGTGCCGCGTTGTTTGAGAAGGTGTTTGGGTCGTTTGGGTTTCTGGGAGTGAAATATGCTACTGCTGGCCAGGAAGAACCAAAGTAAGAGATCGAGGATAGGACAGACGTGGAGGTTTGCACAACCGTGACGGATGGACAAAAAAGTGGAAGAATTGAACATCCTGAACTGCCCAACGATAGTGTCCTGGCCTCGATTCGAACGAGGGGCATCCTCTGGAAGGCTTACACACCGCAACTCAAACAAGCGAGGATATGTTGCTGTACACCACCAGGACGGTGGTGGGAGTCGTGGTAAGCCATTAATTATTGAGATACATAAGCTCCAGACATTTCAAAGATCTTCCGCGGCTCGCATAGAGACAAGACATTCGACGGACGCCCGGCACGGTGGTTCAGAATCAAAAGAGGTGTTTGCGTGCTCAGTGTTACCAAATTGCAATTGCGCACGAGGTCGTTCGGATTTCGTGCAGTGAAATACCAGGCGCGGCCATGGCCAGAATTCAGGAAGAATTGTACCATTACTACGTAGATATAGAACTCGAGAGGTTTACATGCACGATCGTGACAGGCGGGGAAAAAAGTGATCGTTTTCGTAACCGGCCCTATAGTGTCCTGGCCTCGATTCGAACGAGGATTTTCCTCCGGCAAATACGTACAAACGGTGGAGCAAGCGAGGACGTCTTGCTATACACCACCAGGACGGTGGTGGGACTCACAGTAAGCCATATTCAAGTTTATTGGCGTAGGTTCGGCTCAGCCTAGATGTTGAAACGATCTGCCGCGAGTCGCGTAGAGACAAGATGTTCTGCTCACGCCGTGGTTCAAATATCAAAGAAATCTATGTGCGCGCTAATGTTTGTTGGCAAATTGCGGTCTCGCGCGCGCCGCGTTTTTCGAGAGAACTTTTGGGTCGTTTTGGTTTCGCGGAGCGAGAGAGCAGCCGCGGTCATGGCTAAGAAAAACCAAATAAGAGCTGGAGAGGTTTGCATGCACCGTGGCGGACGGGGGAAAAAAGTGAAAACACCATACATCAGATGTCCTGGCCTCGATTCGAACGAGGGACTTCCTCTCGCCTTGAAAGATAAACTAGCAAGCAGGCAAGGACGTGTTGCTGTACACCACCAGGGCGGTGGTGGGACTCACGGTAAACCATTAATTATTGGCGTGGGCTCGTCTTGGCGCACTAGATATTTGAAAAGAGGCTCGCGAGAGACAAGACACTCTGCTGATGCCTGGCACCGTGGTTCAGATTTAAAATATGTGTATGCGTGCGCAGTGTTAGCAAATTGAAATTACGCACGAGCCTGAGGTCGTTCGGGTTTCGTCCAGTGAGATGGCAGCTACAGCCATGGCCGGGAAGAACCAAAATAAAGGGCTCGAGAAGTTTGCATGCACCGTGGAGGATGCACCGTGGAGGATGGAAAAAGAGAATTCACTCAATCGGAATATGTCCTGGCCACGAGTCGAACGAGGGCTTCCTCTGGAAGGTTTGGGTGAGCAACAAGCATTTAAAGCGTGTTCTGTACACCACCAGGTCGGTGTGGGACTCGCGGTAAGCCATTGGCATATGCTCGACTTGGCGTCCCGGATATTTAAAAGATCTTCCCAAGTCCGCGGCTCACGTAGACAACTCGAAGTCTTCAGATTCAAAATAGGTGTATCTGTGCACTGTGTTAGCAAATTAGTACAGGCGTGTGCGCCGCGTTGTTTGAGAACTTGAAAGTGTTTGGGTCGTTTGGGTTTTTGGGAGTGAGATAGTATATATTACTGCTATGGCCAGGAAGAACGAGAATAGGATAGAGCTCAGGGTTGCACAACCGTGACGGAGGGGGGGAAAAAGTGGAAGAATCAAAGATTCCCTAGTTTTATGTTCAGAAACATGTCCTGGCCCCGATTCGAACGAGGGGCATCCTCTGGAAGGCTCGGATACGACACAACACCTAAGCAACGAGGATGTGTTGCCATACACCACCAGGACGGTGGCGGGAGTCGTGGTAAGCCATTGATTGTCGAAATAAGCTCCAGACATTTCAAAGATCTTCTGCAGCTCGCATAGTAGAGACAAGACATTCGACTGACGCCCGGCACCGTGCTTTGGAATTAAAAGAGGTGTTTGCGTGCTCAGTGTTAGCAAATTGCAATCGCACACGAGGTCGTTCGGGTTTCGTGCGGTGAGATACCGGGCACAGCCATGGTCAGGAAGAATTTGACTTGATAAAGAGCTCAAGAGATTTACATGCGCGATTGTGAGAAGTTGTGACAGACGGGAAAAAAGTGTTATTTTGAGCTAGTAGTGTCCTGGCCTCGATTCAAACGAGGATTTCCCTCTGGGAACGTACAAGCAGTGCACTAATGGAGCAAGCGAGGTCGTGTTTGTATACACCACCAGGACGGTGGTGGGACTCACAGCAAGCTATTTATTGGCGTAGGTTCGGCTCAGCCTAGATGTTTAAAACGACTCGCGCAGAGACAAGACGCTCTGCCGACGGCGGCGCCGTGGTTTAAATATCAAAGAAATCTCGCACGCTGATGTTTGTTAGCGAATTGCAAGCTCGCGCACGCCGCGTTGTTCGCGAGGGCATTCAGGTCGTTTTCGCTCCACGGAGCGAGAGAGCAGCCGCGGTCGACGTCATGGCTAGGAAAAACCAAATAAGGAGCTGGAGAGTTTTCATGCACCGTGGCGGACGGAAAAAAACTGTGGGTGACACTTTCCCGACATATAGATTATAATTTATGTCCTGGCCTCGATTCGAACGAGGGGCTTCCTCTCGTCAGACATCAAATAACTGGCAAGCGAGGATGTGTTGCTGTACACCACCCGGTCAGTCGCAGTAAGCCATCATTGGTGTATTCAAAAAGATGGGAAGACGACGAGAAAGCGCGAGGGAAAGAAGTGTGGGAAAATGACACTGGGGGTTTGCAACCAAAGAAAAGACTAGTATATTCGTTCAGTACCGGTTTATATAGATGCTAAGTCACCATGGTAATGGAAATATGGAATATACGGAACAATAGTTGAAACAGTACCAGCGCGGGTATTGCAAGCAATAGAGAGGTATCAAAAGGAGTGTACTGTCGGGTCTCTATGACGACAGCGACTCGGAATATGTCCAGTTCTTCCTGCCCCAGTGGCTGCCCTCTGCAGGACCCAAACAACCTGATCTCGAGTAACGCGGCGCACGACTGCAATCTGCTATCCAACACTGACGCACGTCTTTTAATTTGAACCACGGCGTCAGACTGGCTGCTCTTTACCTGCATCTTTCGAGATCTGAATAATAAATGTACTATACATGCACATGGCTCAACGAACACACTATATGGTCATTAGCATGATGTACTTAGCATCGCCCCCGATGGTGCACAGTACAGTATCCTTTAAACAAAATGGTAAATGGTACTAAACATTTACAAACGTTTAGACTACAAATGTCAACTAGTTTAGCTTTATCAGTCAGCCACAGTGTTGTCAACATTGCCTCCTTGATCTGTAAGATGGAAAACAGCTGCTCAACTGAGATGGAATTGCGAGGATGTCGCGTGCCGTGCTTCAGATCACCGGGAAATCACCCAGAACGGTGCGTCAGGCCGGAGCGGAGTCACGGACTAGATTGATGCGCGCCGCGCCGCGCCTGGACCGTTGCTGTTGTCTGCAAGACAGGAAGAGGCAAGACTGATGCGCTGAAGTTGATTGGTGTCGTGATTCACCATTGTTCAAGCAGTGCATATGGTCACATTCAGCCACCAAACTTAAGGGACGGGTGTTGCTGTGCGCGTGCAACCCTGCAGGCACCAAGGGACTGGGGCACCGACGGTGAGCCCAGTTATGAGAGTTGCCGGCCGTGATTATGATCTGACCAAACAAATGTCGGCAAATTGCGAAGGTTTCACTTCTACCGTTTACACTTTGCTCACCATTTACCGGACCTCGTAAACTACACGAAAAAAGTGCCGTTTACAAACGTTCATAATTGTTTATAAACGGAAATGGTTGGAGCTTTACTCGAACCGGGGCTGGGACACGTGTAAGTAACAAACCCATGGTTTTTTTTTCGCCCGAGTCTTCGTCCTCTGTAATTTTTGTAACCGTGCCTCGCTTTTTTTATTCTTTTTTATTCTTTTCCGCACGGGTCTGCCGGTATCACGTGTAGTCGTGTGAATATCTTCGATCCTTACAGTAGACATGTGCACAAGTACTTGCGTGCCGGATCCCATGCACTATGGTAAGGGTTATATGTAGTACGCCACCGTCCTGGTGGCAGTGTACGCAGTACAGCATGCTTGCTTGCGCGATCCGACGCCAGTACCGTTCACATACATACCATAAGCATGTTTTTTTTTCGTCCGTTGTATTAAGTATATCCCTTCTTTGTATTACTTGTCCGCTCCTGGCTATTTCACCTTCAAGCTCCTGAGTTGAACCTGCACAGGTCCGCCGAACCTTCAGCCTTCGAGGCTGGAATTAATTACGTCTGTCGAACCTGAGCTTGCACTGCACGCCGCGTTCGCACCAGGGTGCAGTTTCGGAATGTCTCGTCTGCAATGAGTCCAGTGCCGCCAGATAGTGTAAATGGTTTGCTGCAAGCCACACCTCCTACCGTCCTGGTGGAGAGTGTACAGCAACACGCGCTCTTGTTATTTCACTTGCACTGATCTAGATGGATGAGAGTCATCCCCTCGTTCGACTCGGGGCCAGGCAATGCTGTGTTCGGCCGCTATGTTTTTGCTTCGTTCATTGCGAGTTCTAGTCCTCTTTGTATAACTTTCCTCCTTTCCGCGGCGTACGATTTTGTTTCATGGTATGTCATTATATATAATTATGTACACACGTCATTTGAACAAAGAAAGGCACGCACAATCGAGCTCGGATTTGAACCGGGTGCATCTGGTGTCCCGCGCGCGATTTAGATCCAAATTTCCGGTGCCGCCGTCCCACTCTTCAAGGGGCCAAGTTCAACATTAAATGCCGGCGTACTATGCCAGTACATCTCTGCACAGATCAAGTTGCTTGGTATAGGATAAGTATTGCACGAGTCATAGGCTCGACTTGGCGTGCCGGATATTTAAAAAATCTTCCAAAAGTCCGCGGCTCGCGTAGAGACAAGACTTCAGAATTAAAACAGCCTGAGGTGTATGCATGCGCAGTGCTAGCAAATTAGTACAGGCGTGTGCGCCGCATTGCTTGGGAGAGGGCATTCTGGTTGTTTGGGTTTCTGGGAGTGAAATAAATATGCTACTAGTATAGTTATGGCCGAAGAACCAAGTAAGAGACCGAGGATAGGACATGCTCGGAGGTTTGCACAACCGTGACAGACGGACGAAAAAAAGTGGAAGAATTACACATTCTGAGAACGAATACTAGTGTCCTAGCCTCGATTAGAACGAGGGGCTTCCTCTGGAAGGTTTGGTAAGTAACAAGCAAAGCGTGTTCTGTACACCACCAGGTCGGTGTGGGACCTAGGGGAAGCCATTGGGCTCGACTTGGCGTGTCGGATATTTGAAAGATCTTCCTACTGTAAGTTCTAGAGACAACCTGAAGACTTCAGATTTAAAATAGGTGTATGCATGTGCAATGTTAGCAAATTAGTACAGGCGTGTGCGCCGCGTTGTTTGAGAAGGTGTTTGGGTCGTTTGGGGTGAAATATAGTGACTGCTATGGCCAGGAAGAACGAGGATAGGAGAGAGGGTTGCACAACCGCGACAGACGGGGGAAAAATGTGGAAGAATTAAACATTCCCAAAATTTCCGGTAGTGTCCTGGCCTCGATTCGAACGAGGGGCATCCTCTGAAAGGCTTAGATATGCAACACCTCGTAATCAACGAAGATGTGTTACTGTACACCACCAGGACGGTGGTGGGACTCGTGGTAAGCCATTAATTATTGAAATAAGCTCTAGACATTTAAATGATCTTACGCGGCTCGCATAGAGAGAAGACATTCGACTGACGCCCGGCACTGTGCTTTGAAATTAAAAGAGGTGGTTGCGTGCACAGTGTTAGCAAATTGCAATATTGCGCACGAGGTCGTTCAGGTTTCGTGCAGTGAGATACCGGGCACGGCCGTGGCCAGAAAGAAGTTAACTAGATAAAGAGCTTGAGAGGTTTAAATACACGATCGTGACAGGCGCCGGGAAAAAAAGTGATCATATTTGCTATGGCCCTCTTAGTGTCCTGGCCTCGATTCGAACGAGGATTTTCCTCTGTCAGAGGTAAACTTACAATGGAAGCAAGCGAGGATGTGTTACTATACACCACCAGGACGGTGGTGGGACTCACCGCAAGCTATTTATTGGCGTAGGTTCGGCTCAGCCTAGATGTTTGACACGATCTCCCGCGACTCACATAGATGTTCTGGTTAGATATCAAAGAAATCAATGTGCGCGCCAATGTTTGTTGGCAAATTGCGGTCTCGCGCGCGCCGCGTTGTTTGGGAGAACGTTCGGGTCGTTTTGGTTTCGCGGAGCGAGAGAGCAGCCGCGGTTATGACCAGGAAAACCAAATAAGGAGTTGGAGAGTTTGCATGCACTGTGGCGGATGGAAAAAAAATGTGGAGAACTTTGCTCGCAGCTCATGTCCTGGCCTTGATTCGAACGAGGGGCTTCCTCTGGAGGCTTTCTTGGTTGCTGAGTCAGTAAGCGAGGACGTGTTACTGTACACCACCAGGGCGCTGGTGGGACTCACGGTAAGCGATTAATTATTGGTGTGCGCTCGTCTCGCACTAGAAATGTGAAAAGATCTTCTGCGGCTCGCGAGAGATGAGACACTCTGTTGACGTCCCGGCACCGTGGTTTAGGTGCCAGTGTTTGTTAGCAAATTTCAGTCATGCACTGCGTTGCTCAGGTGAGGAGGGCATTCAGGTCGTTCGAGTGAGATAGCAGCCACGACCGTCGAGCTCTTGAGGCTTACCTACACAGTGTGACGGACGAAAAAAAAGGGTGGAAACTTGAATGTAAAGTCAAAGGACGTTCCTGGCCTCGA